AATATCCCATATAAGAAATTGCAATATTTGTTTAACGAACCTGATTAGAACACTTTGTATTTTAAGTTGGATTTCTTATGATAAAACACGTTTCTTTTGGTTCTATTTGTTTCGCAATGCTGTATATGTATACATACGTATATTAATCTGAATCACAGTAAATATGAGAATATTTGTCTAAATACTTTTGAATATAAGAAGATCAGCTACGTGTAATTAATATTCATACTGTACTTTAGCCTTAATTTGTAAGAATAACTTGATCACTGGTCTTAGTAAATGTTAAGAACAATTTAGGAAAGTAGCCCTTAAAAATAACTAATAACAAAAGATACCAGGCAGAATTAACGTCTTATTTCACACGTAGACGCCAAGTAAAAGTTCAAAAATGAAACAGAATATTCAGTCAACGATACAAATTAGAACATTAGGTTTCACGAAATATATTAGCTGGATTTTCCTAATTGTGCGGAAGAAGGGCGAGCAATTATTGCTATACATTACTGGGACAGTATTTACAAGTTATGTATTTATTTTGTTGTTGGGAGATTCAAGCGTTTGAACAGTCAATTCTGCTTTTCATAATTCATGCTAAAAATTATAATTTGGTATTTATTAATTCCACCGACAAAGCATTATAAATATCATAAGAAAAATACTTTCTGTATGTAATACAAAGTAATATTCACTTTTTTAAAGATATAACCCAAGATATATGTGTATATCTAAATATGTAATTACTTATTAATTAATTGACATGTTTTCTATACTTATATTCAACCTTGTTTGGAATCTAACAAAATAAGACGCGGCTACTCTAGAATCTAACAGCATAAGACTTGGTCACTCTAGGATCAAACAACATAAGGCGCAGTCACTTTGGAATCAAACAAAATAAGATGCGACTACTCTAGAATCTTACACCATAAGACGTGGTCACTTTGGAATCTAAGAAAATAAGACTTGGTCACTTTAAAATCAAACAACATAAGGCTCGGTCACTTTGAACTTTAACAAAATAAGAAGTGGCCACAAGGAAATCCATAAGACTCAGTTATCCTGGAATATAACAATACAAGATCTGGTCATCATGGAATCTAATAACATAAGATTTGGTCACTCTTCTAATCAAAGCATAAAGTTAAATTTTCATATTCAAGAGTTTGTAAAAATATGCTAGACTGATAAATAATTATACGCAAAGCTTAGCTAAAATTATGTGCATTTAAATCAATAAAGTAGAAAACACATTATACAAGAATACCAAGTTCTTTCACTCAGTCATTTAATAAAATTTCAGCCGTTGAAAGCCTAAATCATTTTTAAAGACAGCTAATAGGACTATATAAAATATGTGAGAAATCTTCTTTTACCGTAACTTCCACATCTCCCATGAAACGTTTTACATCTTCAGAGAAACTTTTATGGCTTACAATGATGAATACATTTCGTTAAAACATCCATTGACAGTGCACAATCTCGCATAATAAGAGAATCTTATGAAAATAGGTCAGATGATTTATTATGCAAGTAAAAAATAAGATCGAAGTAATAATTGGTAGTGAAAGGAGAATTATGTCAATTAAACTTATTGTTTTGTCTTTGAACTCAATGCTTTTGACGATGCACATAATAAAAAGGGAACTACGCTCCAGACAGGTTCCTCCAAGGGATTATTATTTCCCCGAAAGGAGCCAAAGGCCGCCTGGAGGGGTCACTTATTTTAATTACTCGCACCACTATACAGTAGTGTTGTTTGTCAGTCAGTCAGTGGACACTAAAATGACGTCACAAAGGGACTCTTAACGTTGCATTCTGTTGGTTACAACGCAGCATGACATATGAACTTGAAAACAATAAATAAAAATGTTTATTACTCTTAATTTGGGTTTCAGTTACTCTAGACAGAGAACATTTTCGAATACCCCGCGGAAGTACATCTAGTATTAGAAACGTATTAGTTTATGTTTATATAAATATTGTTTGCTGTTCTTTGTAAGTAGACATGGTCGTCTGGTGTCATGTGCTTTAATAACATGGTAAACCGAGCGAATGGACGACAACATGTAAGACTAATAAAATGTTTAACTGTATAAATATTAGAGGTAATAACAATACAAGCTAACGAAGACAGGATGGGGACTTGATGACTTCCTTGTATTTTTATGTTAAAGAAACCTGTTGTGGCGTAAACTAATGCTCATTTCTTGGACTTGATACACCTTACCAAATTTGTAAAGTTTTTTGGACATCTTTCCCAACAAATGTTTGCTATCACTGTCTTCATTCTTATTTCATCGGGACAGCAGAAAAATGAGAAGCAGATCCAGAACAATTTCAAATCTCTAAAAAATCCGAGATGTTAGATAAGGAAGTTCTATGTATTTTTATTTTAGAATAAGCGAAATTGAATCAAGTATTGGAGTTACTTGTTTTTCTGTACGTGAGTTATGAAAATGGTAATATGTCTTACAAAGTATGTAGTTTATACCACGATGGGTACCATAAATCACGAATACGGTCCGTACACTTCCAGTTACATATATATATTTATATAGATACTTTAGAGAAAACCTTTGTGTACTTTTCATAACCACCAGATTTATCTCGTTTTATTTACTGACGTCAAAGTTGAGCTTAGGAACACATACTCCAAGTCGCATGACAGCTGAAACTACACTGTCGTGAATTTGCTTGGCTACCTCTCTAAGTATCTAAAAAACGTACTGACATTTAAACATGTGACTTGAAAAGGAAATTGAATGGCTAAATGATCCCATGAAATAGTTTCTGGGGAATATGTGTCTTTTGAAAGTTCTAAATAAATTATAATACACACATCTTGATCAAGGAATTCAAAAATAGTTTGATCAATGCTGGTCTGTTTATACACCTGTATATATATATATATCGTTATTAGTCTGTGTCTTTTGCGAAGTTAAATCTTATCGAACAGTTAAAACAAAAATCTGTATTAACTTAAAATAATTATCATATTAATTTAGGTTGAACTTATTTTCATTAAAAGATAACAAAGTTTGTTTTTCGTTTTGTTCTCTGGTTTTTACTGTAGTTTATTAAGCGTGCAATTATTAAATACTGGAAATAAAAAAATGCAATGCCATTACGGACGAATACAGAAAAAAAACATTTCCTCAACAGTAGTTTCAGTTGTGTAAATACAACTAAAGAGTGTGACTTTACTGATATATGAGTTTAGTCAAAACTGTGAGTCTATGTTTTTATACATACGTGTATAACAATGACATGACCATAAGTCATATTAAAAGCACACTTGAGGAACGTATATATTGACAGTAAAGAAATACTGAATACGACCAAAACCTTACAACATTTAAAGTTATACACATTATCACACACACGAATTGACATAAATTAGTGTTTTAAATGGTTTTCGTCATCCAAAATGCTTTAATTACTTCACACTTTTTGAATCTACTGAAAAACGTGATAGTGATACAGTTGTCTACCTGGCTTAAAATTAGTTAAAATTAAAAGTAGAAAATTTACTTTTAAACATTTAAACATATATCATTCTTTGCTCCTAAACATGTGGAAAATTATCATTTTGATGTACTGCCTGTATATCATATAAAGCTTTAGTCTAGTCTTACAGTATTGAGAGCTGACTTATTGCTCTTGTAATCAGTAGAATCTAGACATTGTGTCAAGTTATGGATAGCTCCATTGAAGGATTGCGTAATAGGTGTTAAGAATGGCTTTTAAAATGCCCAAATGGTGTTCAAACTATCTTTACTGTAAGAGATTAACTAGAGATTCAGAGGAAAGTTTTAATCAATTGATACATATCGCTGTAAACCGCTCTTTAATTCCAGGTTTTCTCTCTTTTTTTATCAGTTTCTCTATCGTAGCTTCTGTTTTTACATCTGAATCACACAGCCCCCGGTGGATAACGACGAGAATTTTCGTTTACTCTTATCAGTCATTAAGCTCTACTTTACTTGCATTTATATTATACAGCAGTTTGTGTCCGTATTTTGTTTGTCCGTGACAAAAAAAAAGAAAAACGTTCTAGCTTTTCGACTTATAATCACACTAAAAGCTTTAATTTTATCCATTTTCTCATTTTTTAAAACATGTTTAACAAATATTTCAATTTTCCAACTTACTCCTGGCTCAGTGCCAGCAAATGACACACACGCACGGCACATCGTCCCGCCATCCACGTGAAGTCAAAGGTGTAGTGCCTGGCGTTGGTATTATTGCTAATCTTTATACAATGTACAGTCACTTCTTATATATTTGGCCACCGTTTCCATAGCAACATGAACCTAAATTACGACGCCAAACACTGTCGAAAGATAGTTATGATACACTCTGTTCCACTGCAACTATATATCGATTGTGATAATCACATGACTTGCTGATTTACATGTTCAAAACCATTTTAATATAACCTATGCATACCTGTATTAACTGTAATTAAATGTGTCATTGCTAATATTTATAAAGTGTACAGACATTTCTAAAATTTTAGCCACACATCACAAAGCAGCATCAACCTAAATTATTATGACAATACCAGACTGCAGAGGAACTTGAGTTAGAGGAATGTTAATGTTCTGGTGTGCTATTAGTTTCTGATTAGTTTCCAAAATGTAATTTTAACCTATAATGAGAATGTATGTTTAGCATTTCAACTGTATTTTGTGACTTTATAAAATACATGTACCATCCTTGCCAAAAGTAATTATTTGGCTTTACCTCAAAAACAGCCTCTGTTTGCAACAGGTATCATATTCATGGAATATGACAGAAAAAAGAAGAAATAAGTAGAAAAGCACTAAAAGAAATATAGAAAATTATACAAACTTGAAATGATCTAAGCGGTATTTATAATATATTTGTGCTAATAATAGCACAGTGAATAAAATAAGTTCGGGTAATCTGTTCGAGCTATATATATACGTGCGTGCTTGTCTGTGTGTGCTAAAAAGGTTTCTTATTAATTTACTTACCTTCTATAAACAGAAGCAATTGGCACAAAACGAACCCAAGTTTCATCTTCATTGCCGTCAGGAGGCCTCAGCTTTCCAACGTTAGGATTTTTGTGTTAGGCAACATTATAAATCATGGTGATTGCGTTATTACAATGTCTTCACTTTGAAATAAAATCAAAGAAGAAATTGTTTTAATATCGAAGAGAAAATCCATTCCACGTTTGAAAAATAGGTTTCAGATTTATTTGACTTGGAAAATTTATTCATCAGTTAACAAAGAGGATCTGGGGTTTGAAATTAAATTTCTTATGCTAAGGAACAAAGTCTTTTAAACTTGGGAGCTATTGCAAAATAAGGTCAAGAGAGTATTCAAATAAAGCATGTTATCCTAAACTTTATGTAATCGTTTTAATAAGATATTAGCGAAAACGATCAATATGGTTTGTGCACCTTAATTAAAAGTAGATCCTCTTGTCACATCCGAACAGAAGTCTCACTCACTCATCACACAGCTCAGCTTCTCTATAAACTAAATTACCAACTACGACGGGTGGTGCTATTTATTCGGGTCAATATTCTTCTCTGGAACAGCAGCAGCGTCATCTCGTGTTAAAAACGAAAATTCTTCAAGAAATATTTGTGTAGGTCTGTTTGCTTGCTTTAAAGTATATATATATAGTTCAAAAGCTTCATACAAAATGGCGAAATCTATTAGGTTGTTAAATAGTTCGAGTATTATTGATAGATAAATAACTTAAACATACAAATAAACAATTTTGACATTTCTTAATTTTGTATTCGTCATAACACGATGATCTGTGCAAGTAGCTCGTCTCCAACACTGTCATAAGTGCAGGGAGATAATTACATCATTCAAAATGAATTAAATTGTTGCCTATTTGAAGCTAATAAAAAGTTGATGAAATCTAATTCTTATTTTACTATCTCTTCTTGAAATTTGTGTTTTTAGTTAACTTGAATGGAAATAAACTGTGCAACGCGATATTATTCTAATTTTCAGTAATTTTTTATTTAAATACAATAAATTTCGTAGTGTAATAATGTACATGTTTTGTTGGGAGCCTAAAAAATAATCGTGTAGGAAAATAAATAGTCATTGTAATAAAAATGTCATTATATATAGTGATGTTGTTTTACCAAAACAAGTTCTTGTTTTCCAAAATGCTGTAAATTGTAGTAACCACTTATATAGAAAAATTTAACCATTCGTTTTCAACTCGATTCACACAACGTATCTTTTAACGTGTGTAAACGGACAAAAAAAAACATTTTAAATCGAAAATAATATTTATAAGAAATCATTGTTGCTTAAAAGTATTTTAACGAGAATAAACAATTCCTAAATCCAATAAAGAAAACATGTTAAATAAAAACTCATTTTCAACTCACTGTTTTTTTTTAAACAGCAATCTAGATAACGTTCGAACCATACACTGAAACAAATTTCTAAATAAACATAAGAAATGTTTGGTTTAATGAAATTGCTCACTCTGCGTTCAATACGAGTTTCAAGAAAAGCTAATAACTCAAACTATCTACTACGTTTTCTTTAATGCCCAAACTTTCACCCATAATTCCATTAACTGTCTTCAGCTTTGAAAACGTTTGCTGAAACTTTGACAAACAAACAAACAACAACAATAAAACAAAAACACGGAAGAGCAAATCTTCGCTCCTGTATCTTAACATAGATATATATTAACCATATTATGAGCCTACATCAAAATCTGAATAATATTTTACGTGTATCTTCGCTCTGAGAGAAGTAAACACGAGTACCTAGCCTGACATGTGCAACTGTGTCGTTGTTAAATTACAAACAAATACATGGGTAGAATTTGGACAACATTTGGGAGAACTTATAGAACAATGCGCGACTTTTATTATAAAGTAGTTTAATTTCGAGAGCAAAAGCCTTTGTTTTTTTTATAATTAAGAGAAGCTTATTTTAGATTATGTTAAGCACATAAATGGACCCAAGAAAAGAGTTCAACCTACAAGCTCAAACAGCAGTTAAGAGATGTTCTGTCTGAACAGCCATTTTACAGCAGGAATTAATTTACACGTTAACTTTACAATTCAAAACGTTTTAGCTGATTTGCATTACACATTAATAATAACGAATTTGATATCTAAAATATCAAAACTGAAAGAAAATTAGTAAATGGTTCTTCTCTTCCACTTGTAGTTTGTGTGCTTAATTACACACAAACAAACAAACTCTTCCCGTCGAGGCTACAATAATACACACAAATAATATTTGTTTATATTACGTAAGTCACAAACAGAAAATACACAATTATTTCAATAATCATGAATGATAAAAAGAGATTCATAAAGATAATTAGAATGTCTTTAACGATAAACACACACACGTATCTCCTACTTAATTTGTGGTGTTCAGATAAATATGTTTTAAAAGTGTACTTAATGATCAACTTCGTACCACTAACTAACTTACAGTTTCAATAATGTTAATCTTGTAACATTTATCTTCTTTACATAATATCAAGATGATCCAAAATGCAGATGCCGGCATCATTTAGGTAGCTATTTAAATCAATCCTTTGTGCAAACAACACAAGATTACATACACTGTTCTTGCCAGAATAACACATAAATGCGTCGAGAAAATAGCTTTAAATGTCATAGAGTGTTGTAATAAATGGACATGAATTACGTTCTTATCTTCCAAATACACTTGACTAAACAAGAAGTTAATATTACTCTCCCAGTTTGCTATTATTTTGTCAAAGACTGCTAGGAAAAGCTGTTACTTTGTTTTCTTAAATGAACCATGAATTACTTTACCCAACAAAAGAAAGTATTTATTTAATCTCGGCCTTCTGACAAAACTAATATTACGTTTACCTTAGCCATTATCATTTTTCGAAGTTAAAGTTTTAGAGCAATGATAAAAACTCATCTGAAAATGTTAAGTAACACGGTGGATAACGACTGTACAATGAAATGGCGCCTGAAAAGATGATACATTTGGGGATCTCTTTATTAATGCATATCATTTCCATATCTTGAATTCACAAAACGACTATCGTTATGAGAATTCTTCAAAGTGAAACAAACATTTTCAGCAACCCTGTTATCAACAGAAATCAAACATTAACTGCTGCTTATAATCTTTCAAAATAAAAAAAAATTAAATAGGTATGTGGGAAAAACGCTTGACTGAAACTATATTTTGTTCATTTAAGTTGATTTGTGTGTTTGTTTTAAAACCTGGTTAATTTTTCTCATTATTTAAACATACCACTTTCATGTGAATTTATAAGACAGATACTCCTGTAAAGAATAAATTACGGACATAATGACATATATATATATATATGAATAAGTGCCCATTGATATTTTTTCAAGTTTTATTTCATATCACGTGATAAAGAAGAATATAGTTAATAGCGAAACTTTCATGACAGGTGTGTATAGTTGATGTTTAGATTAAATTGCACATCTTATTTATAATCCTCGTTAGAAAAGGTGTTCTAGGAAGCATATTATGCGTACAATTTGCGTATCATAAGACCCATTAAGATAGTAGTCCTAAAAAGTATTGATAGATACGCAAGTAGATGGAAATACCACAGACCCATTTCCAAGCTTTCCCAAAGTTTCAATGAACCTTTTTTCTTAATATAAATTTAGTTCTTTGTCATAGAAAAATATTCATCTCAAGGGTTATAGACTTGATATTTTTACTATGAAAATTCTAGAGCTTACTAAGTTCGTGCAAATATATAGGCATATAATTTGTAAGAATTGCTTGTTCGTTTGTTTGTTATTAAGCACAAAGCTACATAACTGGCTATCTCTTCTCTGACCACCACGAGTATCAAAATCCAATCTTTAGCGTTATAAGCTCTCAGATTTATTGCTGAACCACCGGGGAAATTTGTAAGAAAAATAACACCATAAGAAAAATTTAAACTACAAAGTAAAGCGTACTGCTGTCTTTGAAAGCAATATTTTTATTGTTAATATTATATTATATACGAAAAAGAGGCACAATATTTAAAAGAAAACTAAAACTAAAATTCATATATAAACTAAATAACTAGAAACAGTCTAAAAATTATACACCTAAGTATCATTAAAATATTTGAAACATTTGAGTCTTGTTTTCATTATAAATTTATGTTCCATTTTACAATACGAACTTTAAGAATGTTTTTAGTATTCCACATCACGTTACAACATCTTGTAACACCAATGTTTTTTAGCTCTTGTCATTTTTCGGACTACAAACAGAAATATACAAGCTTATCACGTTAACAAGGCACAAAGTTATGTATTCTAAAAAATTACAAAAAATGAAATAAAAAGTAAAGAAACAAAACATATCAACAACAACAACAAATAACACATAAAGGTAAAGCATTTACAGCTCAAAATGAGCAAAACTCAGGGTAACAGAAACTTTGCTAACAGCTCATCTGAAGTCTAATCTGGACTAATAAGATTCAGCTCATGCATTATTAATGCAATGCTAGTTTGAATGCCTGAATCTTTTTTTATTATTATTTCCGTTTATTATTAAATTTCGTAAAATTAACTTTCCCATCAAAATTACTTTAAGAATAGTATGCTTAAACCTTACGTTTTTTCATAACTTTCCAAATCTCTTCGTAACTTAAAAAACAACAACAACGGTAAAACATATTTTTTTACTTGTTGAGACTTATCTTATTCATATTTCATATCTGTTTATTTTTCGTTCTAGTTTATTGTTAATTCCACCTTTTCCTTTCCATACTCTTATTCCCCCCCTCCAGTATTGTGTACCTTTGTGCTTAACTACAAACAAACAAATCCATACTCAAATGTTACAAATAATATTTAACTGTTTACGTTTTAAGCATACACTTAAAGTTTATTATAACCAAGGTGACGTCGCTTACGTTAACTTGTTTCTTTGTGTTACCAACCGTTGGTCATTGAAGACAAGTACGTTTCTAACTGGAATGTATGTATATATATAACATAATTATTCAAAAAAATATATCATATGTCAGAAAAATATTAAGTTTTACGACTAATTTTGTTTAGGTACAATACACATAACTGTTTAATTATTTAGTTTACCAGTTTAAGAAAATATTTAGCTATAATTAAAATAACTTAAACACATTAGTCATAATAACTTTATTACGCATGTCCAAGGTGAAGAAACAAAACTTTCAATCAACATAGTCGTATAAGTCTAACTTATTACCTCTTCAATAGCAGCTGAGGGCTTTAGAAGATGCCACCCCCCCCCACAGTGGTTCAGTGATAGGTATACAGGCTTATGACACTAAAAATCGGGTTTTGATACCCGTGGTTTGCAGAGCAAAGATAGCCCATTGTATAGTTTTGTGTTTAACAACAACCAAACTTTTAGAAAATTTAGATTTCATTGCTATTTTCAAACGTCATGGCCTTTATGTTAATCATATTGTGTATATAGCC